GTGAAGCCTCTCAGCAAAACTATCCGCGAACTTGCATGAATATTGATAAGGATAATCGTGACGTCGCAGATTTGCCTCTCCTTGCTTCTCTTTCCGATTCTTCATCCAACCCTTCCACTGATCCTTCTATCTCTCTAGTAAATTCTGTTCCAATGACCAACGGTCTCTTACTTTTGAATCCTATACCCGATACTAATACATCCGAATCCAATAAGAATAGAAGTCTTATGCATCCGCCTGGTGACACTTGTCACTTCCAAATTTCAAATACAAAACCCCAATCTGACAGTGCAGGAAATGAGCTATCTGAATCCAATTGTTGCCAATTCACTGCTGAGATGGATACATCCTAGCGCTATTTGATTATATAATAATCATGATTGCGGGCATACACGAGACGACCCAAGCATGTGTATTAATTATTTTTACTTACCTAAAAGAGTCTCGATTACACTGCTCTTTATATTTAGTCTTGTGAATAGATTTAAACATTTTAAAGCACAGTTTTTTCTTTGCCGATTAGGCGTATCGTGGCTTTTTGATAATACAAGCTTTCTGGCCTACGTACCCGGCGTTACACTGGCTCCATTCTTTTATGCTCGTCCATGGTTTATTTTAATCATGACCTTTAATCCCCTATTTTCTCAATCCTGCATTTAAACGAACAACAAAAATATTCTTGTAAGTAGAGAGCGTCAAATCTATTCCACTGATTGACATTCCTTTTCTGTCTTGGCTGCATGTACATCATTTCATATTTCATCTTCCCTGTTACCCAGGTACCGCAAGATTCAGTTTTCCATCTGGGTCACCCAGATATTTATTCGACAGCAAGTTATTTTTCGTTATATATGACCATTTTGTACATTCTTTTCATGCTATCTCCTTATATGCTTGCATATAAGAGGAATTATCATAAACTTTATTCTCAGGCTGCGTTTAGCCCATTAGAAGCAAGAGATTTATTTTAGCTAGAGCATTCTTGATGCTAAATTATTGTCTCTGTAAGGGCCTGACTATTCTTATTTTCTATCCTTTTTAACTGCTTTGCATCTTTCAATAATTTCTTCAGCTCTACATTTTTTATCAACACTTGCATTCATCCCCTCAACAAACATTTGAGAGCGCCTTATCACATTACCGTAGCTCTTCTCTCTGATTGGGGCGTCGCATTGAGGCTATCTTGATATGTGTATGCTCATTCTCTTTAAATTATAGCTAAATCAATCTAATAAAGACTGAAATATCTAACCTGGATCACTTACCCAGGTTTATAATGAGGCTAATTTTTGGAGTGTACTATGTATGAGTTAAGGCCCAATTTCCTCATCGTCTAAGCGTGCTATAAAGAGTCGTCTAATTTTAGATTCCTCCATACACTATAATTCCATCTAAGTGCAATGTTAACTCATTTTATCTTACTAAGTTGGCTCTATCTTAGGCCTCTTCTAAAAGTGAATATTCATAGGTATTGCAAGCTTCTTTACACTTTCTTAACTAGCTGATATTTCTTTGTTACTTAAAGTGTTTATATAGATTTCGATAACAAATTATAATTTGCACTTACTTCCGGACTTATGAATTCCGTAAATCTCACTTCCTAAAACACTTGGCCAAGCCTAAATAATCTGAGTAAAATTTTGATTTATTTATTATACTTGGACTTGTGGGTAGGTAACTCCGTGCCCATGTGTGCTCTAAGATTAATTTTAGGTCCAAACTCCACATCTCATATTCCTATATGAGGTATTAATTTTATTCTAAGAGTTAATTTGTGATTAAAAGTTTGCCACTGTTTTAATTGAATGTCTCACGAAATTGGTAATTATCGTGGACTGTAGTGGATTTTGAACTCTTAACTTTATGATCAGAATCGAACCTAATTGAATTTCGACTGTATTCTTTAAGTCCATTTTTTGCTAATTATCTTCGTCTATACTCTTAGGGGTCGTTCCAATGAGTGTCTCGAGGGTCAGCCAGGTATCTTAAGTTTTCTATGAAGCAGATTATTTGATTGGTCCCCGACTTAGTGCTTTTTATTTAAAGCCGAACAAAAATGTATTTATTCCAATCCCTTCCTAAACTTTATCATATCATTTAAATATTAATATTGAAAAAGTCCCAAAATAATCTTTCAAAAATTAAAACAATCGCTATAAGCTTAGCAAACGGATCTAATGATATTACTTCATTTCATTGCTAAGCAGTCCCACATTTTATAACTAAATAAATGCACGCAGCTCCAATGCTAAAATGATAAGCGAAACCTATTTCATTTGTTTAGTATTAAGCTTAAATTTTTGTAATTAAAATAGCTGTCAACCAAGTTGAACATTTTCCAAATATATTTATATAATCCTTAAAACTTAGAAATATATACAGCCAATAAGCCACAATCACGTACACTTTTCATAATATTTGTTAATAGTGTAAAAATTGTACAGAACGCAAATTTCCTCAATATAATTTATTAATGGCCATTCGTAGTTTACAACACCTTACCAATGTTGTAAGGTTAAAATATTTAGCCTTAAATTTTACATTGCTGTATTTATATAAAGATATATTGATTAATTTCTCTTTTCCCTGCTACGACTTAAATAGCAAAACATTCGAACCAGTGCAAAATAGATGCAATCTTACGTATTCTTGTTTAAAAGATTATAATAATAGGAAGGCAAAATTATTTTGAGCAATTAATTAAATAGGGCTAATAAAAATACTTTGCCTTGATGAAGTAAGCTGCTAGCTTTCTTATAAATTACATCAAAAGATAATAATTTCAAAGGAACTCCAGTAAGAACTCTAAGTAGGATATACCAAAAAAAGTTCACATCCCATCAAATAAGCGCTAAAATGATCAGCAAATTGCCAGACCTAATTGAGAAAGCGACTAAAGATTGGTTACGACAAAAACGGACTCATAAAATAGATGAACATAACTATAATATTCGTTTTTGTTTAACCTATTCTCAAGTTATAATCACAATATTTCATATAATTAATAATCGATAAAATTACTGTCTAAAAAGTATCTAAATAAATTTCAATAATTTTTTTATTTATTTCAGAGTTTTTGTTTTATCCTTTATTTTATAAACGTCAGTTTTTCGAATGCTTTTATGTCTGTCCGTTTATTTCTAAATTTTCTATCATGTCGCATCAGAGTGGCATACTAGGTAATTTTACTTGTTTCTGAAGTTCTATTAATTTAGCGGATTCTGAACTTTTGCAGGCATTCACTCATGCTAAAGATGGTTCAGTTAGGCTAATACAGGCCCAGATCAAAGATGAGAAAATTGCCTTAATAAAGATAAAGAAGGTTTCTGGCGATTGGGAGTCAGATTATGACAAGTGTATAGTTCCGCTCTTAGATGAGAAAAATCCTTGTTTTTTGCTGTACAGACTTGATCAACTTTCCGAGCGAGGCTTTTACTGGCTTCTTATCAGTTGGATTCCAGATTATGCTGAAGTTTCGTCACTAATTTTTGCATTTCGATAGGTTCGTAAAAAAATGCTCTATGCTTCTACACGAGCTACTTTAAGAAGGCAATTTGGAGATAACTTAATCACTGATGATCTGACTGGTCACTCCAAAGTAAGGTTTTCAATGCTGCTATTCTCCTACAAAGGAAGATGTTATTTTAGCAGGCTATAAAAAGCACGTTGAATCTAAAAGTGCTCCACCTCCTCTTAGCCTTGCGGAAGCCGAATTAGCACAACTTCGCTCCACTGAGGTAAGTTCTTCTTGGTCGCATACCTCATAAAGATAGTTCATACTGGTCTTGAGAGTAGCCGGAAGACAATAAATTCAATTGCTTTTCCTATCGAAGAGAGTGCTCTTCCAATGTTGAAATCCTTTATTCGAGGCGAATGCGATTATTTGCAATTGGTGAGATATGTTTAGGCCTAATTTTGTGTAGATTCATTCTTTTAGTGTTTCATTATTAAACCTAGTTGAGTCATTTGAATGTTAAAATCTATAACTATGATATAAATTACGTTATATTATCTTGCTAATCTTTAAGTCTTCCACCTCCTTCATATTTTTAAGTCTGAGCATCATCAACGAATAAAATTTCAGCATTTCTCGAATTTACGTAGGTTTTAGAGTCTGTCAGTAAATCATTTATTATATAAAGTGTATTCACCCTATTTCGTTTAAAGTGCTAAGGGGTATAGTAGTTTAATTTTTCCGCAATGGTATTCGCAGTCTTGTCTTACCAAAAGGTATTCTCATCCAGGGTGGACTTCAATTTTGACCTTGCATAGGTATTATCAACACCCACAGCTGCATTGACGTGGTTTCAATCCTGCTGGGTTGTTACTAAGACTCATTGTCATTTTTGGACTGTCGA